TGTCCGTCCGTCCGTCTGTCCGTGACCTCAAGTTTTCGTCGACGAGAAAATGCGCTCTCTGTCACTCACTGCAGTGAGTACTGAGTTATATTTTTGTGTTGTGTACCCGCCTCAGTGCTGTCCCTCACCGGCAACTCCTACCTCGCTCATGCCGTCCGGGACCAAGTCCAGGAGCTTGATGTCAGATTCAAGTTTCAGGTGGGTATCGAATATATGGCTCGTTTTGTTAATGCTTACTTTTTTGATAATTTAAAATACTCCATAAACTTCGTTCTTTTATTATTATCGGCGCCGTTTCTGAGATACAAAAATAATAGTAACAAATTCCTAGCTGGTGTATATATCAGTTCGAAATTCAGATTAACTAGGTTCTTCAATCAGTTGGTGTTTCATTCTAAATAAAAAATCTGCAAATGAAATCATTGCATGAGGACAAATTGATTTTTTTTTTGACTTGAAAAATGTAATGGCTAAGAATCTTTTGACTTTCTAGGCCCGGTTAGCGGACAGCGTTTTAATGCAAGCTGTCCTTAATGACGATCCTCTACAAAGCATCGCACTCTCCATCAATTCTACGGGGGCTCTAATCCTCAGCTCGATGCTGTTCAAAGATCCGGTAGATTATGACAACATCAATACAATGGATGAAGGATCTGGTTATTCCGATACCGAGCCTGGAGATGATGACCTGGAACCCAATTTTGAGGCTGGGTTCAATGCTCATCTAAGTCAGAACGTCATGGATGGCAAGCCGCACAGCGTCCGCATGGACTGGAATTCCAAAAAAATAAATATTTATCTAGACGATAAAATGTCCGTTTTCAACATCACACGCGAAATTTTTTCGTCCCAAAATTCTTTTGATTTATTCTTCGGCTACTCCAAGTACATCAACGAAGGTATATTATGTGATGTAGAAATTAGGCTTATGTTTTGGTTTCATTGCAATCAAGCGTTAAAAAACGTGTATATTTCTCTCTCTTAAATTTGTTCCTTAAGAAAACAATGATGTCATGTCTGATTCATATTTTGTGGCGTCTTTAAAGAAATAATATTTGCGCCAAATTTTTTTGTCATTCAAATGCAAGCATTCATAACAGTCGTGAATTTGATATTTATTAAAAACAAATGTACATTGAACAGCAAAAAAAATTAAAAAAACCTATGGCCTACAACCTGCTGAGTCTCAGATTTATCAATACTTAGATAAAATATAAACTTTAATGGATTAATTAATTCTTTTTTTGATAGGACAGATGAAATTATTTCATAAAGGACGAAATAAATTTTTCATTGGCAATGCATGGAAAGAAATAGCATAATTCGAAACTTTAACTAATTATTTAAAAAAAGTTAATGGCATTATTCAAAACACATTTTGCCTGTAAATGCAACTGTATTCTAAAATCTCTATGTCAATATGGCGTTAAGCGCAGGGCAATTTTTGAACTCCCATGTCGATATGAATAATTGAAGTGAATGATAAGGTCGAATACGTGACGTCATCAGAGCTGGAGCCCAAGCGAAAAGCCCATAACCGTATTAAATAACTCTAAATTCACCTCAGATGTTTTCGCTAATAATTATTGAATTTTACCTACATCTTCTCGATGTTGAGTTAGCGGCACTTCCTTATAAGTATTGAAAGAACACCGTTTCTATTTTTTAGCTCCCGTTCGTAACGTTCGTTGATTATTTTAAGCAACACGAGATCACAAAATTGTCCTCTGACTTAAAAACTCAGAAGCTTGCCACTAGCATCATAATTGTTGCGTTAAGCGCCTGAAGTCTTTAAATAATAACAGCAAGTTTTGGCATAATTTGTAACGAAAAATTTCGATCGTACATTTTTCATTACCGGTACCTCTACTCCTTATTTTTCCAGCCTGCGACACAGTTGATAAATGTCATAAAAGCGATATTCAGAGCTCATCGAAGTATCAGTTTAGTGAAGCCAAGCAGCGATGTGATCAACTGAAGATGGGATCCTTCAAACCTTTTTCGGGATGTTTGCAAGATATTCAAGTGAACGGAGTGGACCTCTTCTCTGATCCACGGGACACTGAGCTCTTGTCTGTTAATCCAAGTGATGATAAGCCGAGCGTTTCCCTGTCTACTTCATGCCCAGTGGTGAGTCTCTGCAATGCAATAATATTGTTAGAAAACATATCACAGAACTGTTGAATCGATTGAATCGATCATCTCAATTGAATATATAAATTCATGCTAAAATTATCATTCGATGACGTATATTTTGGCTTGCAATTGTTGGTTACAATACATGTTGTAGAAAGTTTAATAATTGTAATCATTCGTCAAATATTTGGCTCAGAAATGAAGGTATAATTTTTTTCTCATGAATAGAATAAGTTTTCACAGTTTTTATTGTTGACAGAACTCCTAGAGCATAAGTATGTGCACAAGATATTGGTTAACTCACTTGACGTTAATTTCCGTATTTTTAAAGGACGGCCTTTGATCCTCATTGTAATAATAAGGAATGAATATTATTCACTACTTTCCATTCATGATCATATTGTAAAGTGCCCATCATTATCAACTCGTACGTATTGTATGGGCAGTTCACATCGAACAAACTCGTGGTTAGTTTGCAGCATCAGTCAGCTCACCTGACTCTGCCAGCACCCTGCGCCGCCACCTTCGTTCTTCAGCTCTTCGTAAAGCCTGCACTGAGCGCCAACCCTAACACTTCTGCCATACTCGCATCCGGGCACATCACGCTCAGGAACACGTTCAATGAGAACAAGCAGTACAAGTGGAAGGTAATAGAGAACAAGCAGTACAAGTGGAAGGTAAGAGACAGCAAGCAGTCCAAGTGGAAGGTAATAGAGAACAAGTAGTACAAGTGGAAGGTAATAGAGAACAAGGAGTACAAGTGGAAGGTAATAGAGAACAACCAGTACAAATGGAAGGTAATAGAGAACAAGCGGTACACGTGGAAGGTAAAGAGAACACGCAGTACAAGTGGAAGGTAATAGAAAACAAGCAGCAAAAGTGGAAGGTAAAAGAGAACAATAAGTAGTAGAAGTGGAAGGTAATATACTCATATATGCATATGTATTAAAATTAATTAGTACATTCACTCGGAGTATGCGCAGCAAGATGAAAAACGTAAAAGTAATGAAAATAATACAGCTTTTTCACGATTGAACTCTATGTTAACTTGCATTCATTTTTTCATTTTGTTTCTAAAAATCTTTAGTTTAAAATTTTATTAGATATTTTTCGTTAAATTAAGTCATTTAATAGTTCAGTGTTGTGAGAAATTTCGCAGTACTGAGAGATTTCGATTTCAACAATATTAAAATCGTTGGACTGAAGCTCTAATTTGAATTAAATATTTGATTCGTGCTGATGTTGCAGATTTTTAATGATAAATACTAAATCGAAGTTGACCATCCACATGTATAGAAAATTTAATTATTCCTCTTGAGTGTGACGCTGCGTTTGATATATATATACATATATAACATATAATACTTTATTAAAATTTTAGCAGTACAAGCATCCCAGCTGAGTCAGCAAGATTCCAACTATGAAATGAACGCTCTAGTTGAACCTTATTGGCTGCGAAAAAAAGATAAATATTGTAAGCTTTATTCTCACAATGAAATAATCACATGATTTATTTAATAATGTGAGTGTGCCATGTCACCAGCTCTACATGAAGCACCAGAAGCTACACCTCGATGTCCCAGGCTATAACTCGACCTCCAGTAAGGACGTGTCAACTAAAAGACAAATCGACTTGAATGATTGGAACTCGGTGAGTTGAGTTTAACCACCTACTTAATGTAGGAAATTGAACTCATAATTTTACCATGATACTAAATACAGTCTTCGATAGTTTTCAGTTAATTTCGATCTACGTAATTCGGCAAGTTGCGTTCGGCGATGAACATGTTTCTTCTGACAGAAATCAGGGGGTACCTTTGTTTGGTGCCTTTGTCACCACAAGCCTTCAAACCAACTATAAAATGTGTTTCTTGGTACACCGGAAAAGAAATCGATTGATTATTTTTTATTAGAAACTAAGCTTTTTTTCTCGTGTATAATATATAATATGATGGGAATTCAAATTTGATGAATATTGAATTGATATACAATTATGGCAGGGAAGTTTAGTATTGTAATTACATAAATGTTACTTAGTTTCAGAAAGTTGAAAAATTTCGTATTCTCGAACTTTGAATACGAATCAGTGAAGCTTTATGGTGCAGTAGGGCAGGCAATAATTTTCCATGCTATGTTTGCTAAGATGACCGGTTAATGATTAATCAATACCTTTTATTGTTTCAGGTGAAGTTGTCAAGTGGCGAGAAAAACATGACTCTCTCATTCTCGGCCTTCCATTCAACTTTCCTTTTCAATGACTCAAGTATCGTCTCCGTTTCTTCCATCATCGTGGGCGATAGGAACAAAGGTGTGTTAATAGCCACACTCAGATATTGAACTCGGGGAAATGAGTGAGAAATTGTCCGAATTACGATGCGAGTGTGAGTCATACTGACCTTTTTATATACCCACGACAAAAGTGGATAGAAATCATTTGCTTCGTCCGCTTCTCACTCTTACTGTCAGCAAGAAAGTGTCTCATTATTTAGACAATGACCCACTTCATCTTAAGTGTGGGCTTGAAATTTCATAAATTTTCTGGTGATATTTCTTGTTTTCCCTTGACAGGGTAGCTCAATTTGCCTATACATGCCAGATGTGAAACAGATTAGAGTAATGCTACGGATAAAATGAGTATCGTATAACATTGTTAATTTGCAATCTTTGCAATCTCAGTTAATTGAAAAGACGTAATCGCCCAGCAGAAGAAATTAAGTGAACGAATCGCTTCTTATGTTAACTCAGTTGTTTCATCCATCAAAAGTACCCGAAATTATTTATATATAAATATGTTTCCAAAATCCAGGTTTATAAGATTCCAGCATTATATAACGTCTCCGGGAAAATGGTTGCTTTCCGACAACGTTTTATTTAGGGGCCACACCCACGCGTTTATTCTATGTTTCATGTACACAGTTTTTATTTGCTGAGTATAAGTTGAGTGAATAGTCCTACCCTAAGGTTACATAGACTATTTTTGGTTAGCCTTGAGAAACTGGCACGATTCTCCTACCAACCACAACCTAAAAATGTATTTTGGATAAATTTTACTCTGTACTTGGGGATTGTTGGATCAGAATGCTGTTAAAAACACGGATTTATAAAATCTTACAATGAGAATTAAAAAAAAACAATGAGAATTCAACAATAAGAATTTAAGGAAAAAATTCATCGTTCTCAAAACGCCAGGCATGCTGGGATGCTTCAAGGAAATCACGTTGGACGGCTACGAGTTCGACGCTCGACTATTCGTCAGGGCTGGCAACGGCGTCCTGGTCGGCTCATGCGGAGTGAGTGGCAACAGCGTTCACTGCAAACACCCAACCTGTTAATTGAGAATTTAAAAGCAAATAAAACGAATGGTAAATCCAAAGTACATTCACGGAAAGGTTACTGAGAAAAGCTCCATCATCAGTATAATGATATAAATTGTTTGTCACTGTTTTGTAAATTTTTAGTGAGCTGTCGAAATAAGCAGACTATTGATATAAGTACTCAACCTGTTACAACTGAATGCTTGATTGGATAGCCGATTAAATTAATGAAATGAAGTTTTACGACGAGTACTTCATCGTAAGATTGGGGTTTCTTTTAATGTAAAAATTTAAGTGGGATAAAATAAGTAAACGAATGATTAAAAAAATAGTAAATGAATGATTGAATACTTGACATGTGATTCATAGGTCCGAGATCCTTGCCTCAATGGCGGAAAGATGGTGTCGGGTTCTCGGTTCTTGCATACTATGTGCAACTGCACAGCAACGGCATTCGAGGGAACGCGCTGCCAGTTCCGTGAGTTAATAAAGCTTTATTACACTAATGATAACTTGAGCAAAATGAAGTTCTTTTACAGAGCTGATGACCTAAAATGAAGCTCGCCGGTCTCAGGTTTGAAACTGATTCTCTCCATTGATCTGTTTCTCTGTTTCTAGCAGGTTGACAGTTATAAATTCCAACCCATTGGCGTTGCCTAGTTTGCATCCCCTTGACATATCTAGTTTATAAAGCGCGTTGACATAGCCATGTTCGCATCACGTTGACACAGCCCTGTTGACATCACGTTGACACAGTCCCTGTTGACAGCACGTCACCCCGCCTCGTGCTCCGAGTATCGCCGGCTGGGCTACGGTCAGGCCGGAATGTATGCCATTGATGTCGATGGCAGCGGCCCCTTACCGCCGCTCGTGGTCAAGTGCGACTTCCTGCCACGTTCCACTAATATCACAATTTCTCACAACCTTCCGAATGAATTTGTAAGCCTAAATTTTGTTTTATATGTCATTCCAAAAAATTTGTTTACAGATAATTAAAGGGCTCAAATCAAACTATACAGTTCAGACAATTCAATCAATAATCACTTTATGTTTCAACAATTTTTGAGCAACATGCAAACTGCAGAATAAAACATGCCATTCTTCGTGTCCTCAATTTTTTTTATGCTAGAAGTAGTTTAGGGCAATTTCTGTTTAAGGCAAGTGAAGTAGTAGTAGTTCTGTGTTTAGTAGTTTAGGGCAAGTGAAGTAGTTGAAGTGAAGTAGTTCTGTGTTTATTAGTTTAAGGCAAGTGAAGTAGTAGTAATTCTGTGTTTAGTAGTTTAGGGCAAGTGAAGTAGTAGTACTTCTGTGTTTAGTAGTTTAGGGCAAGTGAAGTAGTAGTACTTCTGTGTTTAGTAGTTTAACGCAAGTGAAGTAGTAGTAGTTCTGTGTTTAGTAGTTTAACGCAAGTGAAGTAGTAGTACTTCTGTGTTTAGTAGTTTAGGGCAAGTGAAGTAGTAGTACTTCTGTGTTTAGTAGTTTAACGCAAGTGAAGTAGTAGTAGTTCTGTGTTTAGTAGTTTAACGCAAGTGAAGTAGTAGTACTTCTGTGTTTAGTAGTTTAGGGTAAGTGAAACATTATCGACTCGTCTATGTCTCCAGGAGGTCCCTGCTGCTCTCGGAGTTACACGCCAACTGAACATCAGCTACGCTGAGAACATCAAGCCATTCATCAAACTCCTAATGTCTTCCCGCAGCTGTACTCAGAAAGTTACATTCTCGTGTCGCAATTTCCCTCTGAACTTAGCCAGGAATAATACGCTGTTATCTTATGGAGACGGTGACTTCATCAACAAGCTCGGCAAAACGCAGCAGGGCGTTTGTCCATGCAAAGGTGAAGCCAATATAAAATGAAGTACACTATATTCAGTCGCTTCAAAGACTCAGTAACATAAGTTGTTTCTTCAGGTAATTGAATTCATTTATTACCGTTAATACTGTATCTCGTAAGCGATGTGGCAAAAAGAGATGAAAAATTTAGCTTGAACTCGAACTCAACCCTCATGATTTCATCATTGCATTTTTCAAGAGCTTCAGAAAACCAGTGCGTGAGTCGAATCTAGCGGAAGTTCAAGCCACAATCCAATATAAAAATAATAACGATGTTGCCATTGCAGAACACGAGACTTGCAGTGAAGCCAGACTTGGTTGCAACTGTGACGCAGGCGACGACGTAGTCAGGAGTGACACCGTATGGCTCAGTGAGCCCTCCAACATCCCACTCTCAGCTTTGATTTTTGGTGGCAGCGAGAAAGCAAACGTTAACTCTTTCCTCCGACTGTCCGTTGGCAACATAACGTGCGAGCAGACACGTGAGAACACATTTTTTGTACCCTAAATTATCCATAGACAATATGTACCCTATATTGTCTTTGGCTGATGCTTGTAAATGGTTAGCTATTCTTGAAAATTTGTTGAAGTTTATTTGAGAAAACCATTACTACTTGTTATTATTTGTTTATAATTTGAAAGTGATTTTCGCAGAAGGTTGCTCTGAAGTCACCATATGATTGGGAAACTCATTTCTGTCGTATATTGCAGAGCTACTGGCCACCACCAAATCGCTCATCAAGCCCGACAGCTACTTGAAACTCACGCGTTTGCGGCGTTTCAACGTGACGAATTTGAGTTTTTCCTTCAAAACCTTGCAGAGTGACGCCGTCCTGGTGACAGCTACTCTTGACACTTTCCTCGCACCGTCCTTCTTCGTCCGACTTCATCATGGTTGGTTTCATACCACATCATCGACACTTTGGGACGAAATTTGTGACTAGTTCAGGAGGAAAATTTTAAAGCGCATTCATGCAACACGATTTTCAAGCATAACTTTGTTAAATTAAAACCGATATCGACCTAATTAACAAAAATATTCGTTTCGCAATACGCTCATGTGATCTGAACTTACTCGAATCGCAATGTACTAATTTATAAATTTTCATTTCTATCTCAAATTTTAAAAATTGATATAGATACCCATCTCTGATTATGTTACAGATTATTTTTCTTCTTCAGGTACTTCATTGGTACTCTCACAGCGTGGTATTAACCTGCTAAAAATCGTAGCGGGTTATCCTCTAGATGTCGGCGAGTGGCAGCATGTTCATATTAGCTATAGCGAATGGGAAGTGCGAGTGCAGCTCAACGGCCATTCGGAGTTTGCATTGCTTGATAAGCCATGGACGAGGCAGGAGGAAACGGAAAGCCAAATTTACATAGGAAACTACCCATCAAGGTAGCTATGCTCAACTTAAGTGATGACACGTAGAGAATAGGGTGAATCTTTGCCATGTGTAGTCTATTTAGTCTCTAGTTTTAGTCTTAATCACTCGGGATGATTGAATGGTTACGATCACCAAGATTGGAGCAGCGAATTGGAGGTACGAGACATGCTACTGGTTGTGAAAATTCTGGTCAAATTGCAAAGGTGGCCGGGTGGTTGAGAATTGGCTACAGGCCAACATGGCCTGAAAAACTTTAAACCACAAGACATATAATAGATTTACTGATATGTGCTTTTCTTCTAAGTAATTGTGGGCGAAACATTGTTTGATATCAGAAGGTAATGTAGGTTTTTATTCTATTTCATCAGTTCGCGACCTGAAAATCCTGGGACAAAATTCATTGGCTGTGTTAGAGACGTGTTCATAGACAACTTTCCAGCGGTTTTCGATGAAGAAAGCTCCGTTGTCAACGACTGCGTAGAGCCATGTCAGCTTCTGGCTGAAGAACTGGATCATGTCTGCGAGCATGGAAATCGCTTCAAAGATTTACCTGAAACTTGCGATCGAAAACTTCTTCGTTCTTCCAATGAAGAAAGTAAGTCACGGTGATCTACAAGTGAGTCACGATGATCTAAAACTGAGGCACGGTGATCTAAAAATGAACGAATCAAAAACTTCGGTTTTTACGTGATCATTTGAGCTTTGGGACTAGAATTTCATGAAGACGGAAAAGCATGGCTAAAATTTTATTTCTGATGCTTAAACCCAACATTCACTGAGTTAATCAAATTTTATCTTCTGTTTTACATTCAATAACGAACGATAAATAGCTGGGTTAGATGCAATATACTGGGAATAGATTTCATGCAAGCAAAAATAACTTACTAACTGAAAATTCATAATTTTAATAATTCTTCAATTTTTTTCTATTCACAATTTTTTAAAATTCATAATTTTCTATTTCATTATAATAATAAACAATAATTAATGACACTGTGACAACAATTTAATTTTCGATGATGGCAGCAGATTTGAATCGAAGCGGTGTTCGATTACTCACCAAGAAGGCCGAACTTCATAGCGATGTAACCGAGGTCGACCCTTTCAAGATTGACTTGAATCCTCTCACCCACGATACCAGCTTCGTGTTCAGAACCAGAGAAAGCCGGGCACAACTCTTTTTTGCTTACGACAATCTTCAGAATGTTCTCCAAATATACCTCGCCTCGCCATCTGTTTTGAATATTATCTTCAATAACGAGTTCGAGCTGCACAGTTTCTCCATGCAAACTCCCGGCAAACGTGAGTAAGCGTGTTTCTTACTGCACGTTCGAAGTAGAAGCGTTCTTGTGGTAGTCCACGACATGTCGTCGTCTATTGGAACAACTATGGTTATTACTTATTCGTATGAAAAACCTTAGTGATCCGTGGCAGCACTCAACAATTTTGGATTCACGCTTTTCGTTGTGATTCAGAAACAGTTATTTTTTCCGTGCATTGTATTAGTATTTTGTTTAAAATTTGGAAACCAATCGATACACATTTTTCAACGTACGTGTCCGAAATCTTGAATGAGTTGCAAACTAAACTATGATACATTTCGTCTTCAATAATATTAATTGTTTCATCTATGCTATTCCTAGCTTCGAATGCAAGAACAACCTAGATTGTTAACCTTCAACTGTTTTAACTGTTTTCGTATCAATTTATTAATCGAATAAAATTCCTATGCAGAGATGAATTTGGGTTCCCCAGTGGTCGTCCGCCTGGAACGTTCTTTTTCTGTTACGAACGTGAGCCTCACCATCGACAATTGCGTGTTTAGTGCGGTGATGAACAGAACTTATTCTTTTATAACCGCTGATAAATACCGTCAATATCCTTACACAACCACTGAAGAGCTGCCCGCCATACAGCAAGCCAAAACTGTTCCACAAAGTTTCCTGTCGGTGAGTCTTTCCTGCATCACAGGCACTGTTCCCATGTTCTTACTTTCCTGTTGCAGACTGTGTGAGTAATGTGAGTCTGTCGGTGATATAATAACATTTTACTTACTCTCACGAACATATAGATATTTTGTGGCGAAAGTTTTCAATAAGAACTAGAACGCTATATTCGCTGAATTAGACATGATAAAGTAACCTTTTTGAAATTCATGGTTACAACCCTAGTTTGAATAAAAATACGAATTTATTCGGTGACGTATACTGATAACGAGCATGTTGCCATAGGTCCTTTTACTTAGCAATCAATGATGCGGTGGCATAAATAATTATTCTCTTATACATTTTCCTAACATAGAATGATGAAATCGGGATGAAATAACCCAATAACACAACATTTAAAAATTAATTCGTGACACAATAACCGCAATGCAGGTACACTTCGGAGGGGCTAACACGGGTGGGGCCACGACGAGAGTGCCCAACCTCATCGGCTGCGTATCAGACTACGAAGTGGGCGGTCAAACTGTCAATATCCAGGAATTTGAACAGTGGGCGCGAGGTATAAAAAATTTTTTCTTCACTGAAAGCATTTTAGTTTTTTTCGTGAGCATCATAGGAATATTATTTTTTTAGGAGCATAAGAATATACAATATATAATTTCAGTCTTTCAGATAATTTTACTTTCCTGGCAGAGAGAACATAGAGGAGAAAATAATAGTGAAGCCAAGAATTAATTAATACTTAATTATATAATTAATGAATTGATTTTGGTATTTATTAATTATTTTCGGCACTATTATATTCTCCCGAGTTTCTCTGCCAGGAAATTATAAATTATATTTGTTCTTTTACCGAGAAATTATTCAGTTATTTAATTTCGATTATTCATGCCTCTGAGAGCAGAGGGTGATGTGTTCCCGGGTTGTGAAGACACCAACAACGCCTGCAGCGACACGCGCATGTGTCAGAACGGAGGAAAATGTTTGCCGCTGTTCACGCAGTCCAGCCGCAACCAGCCCTGCGATTGCCGCCACTCATCTTATATGGGGCCACATTGCACTGACGGTCAGCTTCTTTTTTCGTTGTATTTTTTTTAATCTTCAGTTAGCGTCTGTTATTTCAACATATTACTGCTTTCAATTATATATTAGCCCTCAAGATTGAAGGAACGTGTTTGATCGTGCTTATTTTCTCTATTTCAGTATTTGTCAATAGGTTACTTTCTTAATTTGTCAGGTTACTGTTCTTACCGTGCCGCCTGGTTACTTTGCGTACTCTATCACTTGTTGTCAAGGTTATGTGGTTCGTAAGTTTGGGGTGGATGCAAGTAGTCAGTCGGTGATATTAGAGAATTTATTGATTAAGCATTACGGGCAGTCTAACATAGATAGGCCGCAATTAAGTAATTCTGAAATCTATAGCGGAATATTACTGACACGTAACAAGATTCAGAGCTTAAGTTATGGGATAGATAGGTTCGGCCTGTAGTAGATCCGACCTTTCACAAAAATGATACTCTTAAATAAGTTGTGCATGGGCTTATCCATGTCTTTTCACAACTAAGTAATTCAAATTAAAAGTATTTCACAACACAAATGAGTATGGAGTTGAAGTGGGTTTGGAAGCTCGACTTTTGAGTGTGGGAGAATGTGATCTGATTTTAGCACCGGGCCCAGCATTGAAGTTAGCATCGGGAATGTCGGAATGAAAGACAAAGTGTGTTCAAGTAAGATGTACCACACATGCCCTCACATTTGGTTATTTTTCTTTTTTTTTGTTATCAGAAATCGCTTACCAGTTTAAGGCTGGGGACGAGCTGATCATGGAAGTCGGCGCCCTCAGTACCGCGGCGCCAGACCGCTCGTCCAGACTCAGTTTTGCATTTGCACTTCAGGGCGGCGGGTCTCACAACGACGCTTTTGAGACTGTGGTCCAATACGACTCATCGGAGTAAGGGGAAATGAGGCTTTCAAATAGATATCTTATCGCAAATATCTCATTTTGAAATGACTTATCAGGATAAGGGGAAATTTGGCTTTCAAATAGATATTATCGCTATTATCTAATTTTAAATTTCTTTCTGATAATTATCATTAGAAAATAATTTATCGCACATGTTTTCAATCGAACATGACTATTATTTTACTGGCATGTTTTTGTTATATCGTCAGCTTGAATGTGGTGAAAACATCTCTAATCACATTTCTTTTATATAATGTTCGATTGAAACAATTTAAATATGCATGCTTTCAATAAACTAAGACTATTTTAGGAGCATGTTATTTTTTCATCGGCAGGCTAAGTGTGTCAATGGGCGTCGAGAACGGATCTTCGCTCGTCTTGACACTAGCCTCGCCAGGGAGAGACACCGCGCAGCAGTGGACGCTTCCGCCCAGTGACATAAGGACAGACATGCAGCAAGCCCAGCGACAACACGTTGTTTTAGAAATTATTTATGACGTGGAAAAAGTTCATATTCTAGTGAGTTATGACATCTGAATCTTTAATTTTGTTTGTTTATTGATGTCTGGCTGAGCGTGAGGATGAAGTGACTATTTTCCTCGAAACAATTCTGGAAGGATTTAAAGCCAATGTATAGTGTCTCTCTTCAACACTGAACATCTCCATTTTAACACGACTTCCCAAATAAACATGAACATAATAAATTTTTCCTATAAACAACGAAGCAAATTGTTTATATTAAACAAGTTTCTCTGATTTCTTGTCAAGTACCACATATTTTTTTTAATTCTTCACAATTAAACATGAATCAATTCTGTTCATTCAGTTTCAGTTGAACAGGAGACCCATCGAGTTGTGGTATGCTTCATCTATTCGATTATCTGGGAACTTCGTCGGCCAGAGGCAAAGGGACTCGCTGTCCCTGGGAAATTTTATTTGGCCCAGTGAACTACACGGGCGACAAACCCAGGGCTTTGCTGGCTGCATCTCGAGTGAGTTGATCCTATTTTAAGTGTTCACGATTAGAGTAGATTTATTATCAATTTGTGTGGTTCTAGCATGGGTTTTCAGTAATGGATATTAGACATGACAATATCGTTACTAAATTTCACAAGTTCTGTTTCTGATTTCAGGTTTTGGAGACAATCTAGTTTATTGGATGCTATCGTTTTTCTAGGCTCTTTTCAGTGTCCCTTTTATAGACCGACGACGAGCAGCTGACAATCCATGAAATTTTATTATTCCGCATCATTTTTCCAGACAAATTAGTTGCAATAATTTCCTTTTACTAAGGAACCAAATGTGTTGCTGAGGAATCGACGTCAATTGTAATCAATTAAAGTACAATAACAAAAACTATTTATTTCGATTGTTCGCCGATGCTTCTAGCAGTATTGGAAGCTTGAAACAAACAATAACGAAATTCACGTTCAAGTTTGCCAGTGTTGCCATGCCCATTTTAAGCGTTTTATATTTTTAAAGTTTTAAACGTCTTGGAAGGTAAAAATCGTAGAGTCATATTAAATACCTGGATACCGTCACCGTTGTCCTTTATTTGAAGCTCATTTAAAATTTAAAAAGATCAACAAAATTCTTTTAAAATCGTGACCGCGTTTGTTTTCACCAGACGTGCGTTTGGAAAGCCATGGAAAAGTATACAACCCACTGGAGCTTTACAAGCAAGCAGGATCTTTACAAGCACCCGCCATCCCTCCTATAACCGTTCGTGGTGAACCCAAAGCGACTGAATACTGCGCTATCGCAGGGTCTCCATCATTCTTCGGCGCGTCCAGACTGCCGAGACGTACGGTAAGTTATTTGTTCATACGAATTCTCCAAAGATATTTATTAAAACGAGGACGAATAGAAACGAAAAATTTATTGAAAGCGATTGGTATAGAACATTTCTGTTTCCACGTAAATGGAACAAATTACTCCCCTTTAAATTGAACAGTTCAAAACTTTAATGCTTTATCGAGCAAAATGGCTTATTTACTTGCAGCTCTGAAATAAAAATATCACCAAATTGTTAAGAAATTTTATTTATAATTAACTGGACGTTCAGAATATTATGACAAATAGGTTCATAAATGTGGATACACTTGCCCATCAGATGAGTGTTTTAATCAATAGATGATGAATCGACAAAATTTGACACACCATGACAATTGCTTGTGGGTTAGGTAGTTTTTCTAAACTTACGTTCCACTATCGGTATATTACTTCAGAGTTGAATCTCTTACTTTTTATACAAACCTTCGTATCTTCTAAGCGCCTAAAATCATTCAAAGTATATCAATGGTAATTTCCTTCGGTATCATGAAACGCAGCCATTCTAATGTCATCAAAATTGCGCAGAGCGATGCGGTCGTGCAGATGTCACCTCCGACGCTCCTTGCGAGCGAAAGCCAGACAACGGAACATGAAATGGAGTCAAATCCTGTGCAGAGTGTGAATAGTGAGTCAAATGCGTCAGCTCAAAGTTAATTGGGAAAGTAAAAGCAATTTATACATTGAAATTAATATAGGTAAGTTGGAATTTGCAAGTCATTGGGCTGAATTTTGTTTTTGATTGGAAATAGTAATATACAATACAATGTACTTCTATACCTAATACGACTGCTTCAAGAGAACGTTGATATTGACCTTCAATGCAAAACTTATCCTGAGAACTTTTTTGCAGTTTGGATAATCATCGGTATCGTGTTGGGTGTGGTTATCGTCATCAGCATCGCGGTGATAGTTTTTATGATCGCGAGGAGGAAATCGTCGGACATTGAATCTTTTGAACCAAGGAGGAGCTACCGTAGGGCTTCTGATAACCGGGTGAACATGGGCTCTCGTGCCTTACCTATTTTTTATACCTATAATGTTGCCGGAATAAAATACTGTCAAAATTCGTCTCGCCATTACTTTTCTTTAATTCATGAAAAAATATTCTATCGATTTTCTGTTCACTCTTCTTTTAAAAATGAGAACCAATCAGTCCATACTAGGCTCCAAGCAGCTAAAATGTTCTTTTGGATTTAAGCCCTGAAATTGTAATTATTTTATAATATTTTTGTTACATTGCTTTTTGAACAGCTTTCTGCCTGATTGTAATGACTAATGTAATTTCCATGAATTTTACTAACGAGAGAGGATAGTTTTTTGGTTTGCATCAAATGAAAAAAAAAGAAAATTGATCTCTAATTTGTTCGTTTTTTTTCAGACTTCCGACTCTGTAAGATTGAGCCAAATGAATAACGGTAAGTCAAACGCTTGCAAAAATATCCGGATTGGATTCTTAAGTTTTGCTAGTAGGCTTTGTTGTCTTCGCAGAATAACATGAATTTTAAAAATAATTGTTGACGTATACATTTGAATCAGTTACTATTAGATTGAAAAAATTGGAGTTTTGTCTGTTGCATTATACGAATTAATTTCTGTGAACCTCTAAATTCCACTAACGAAAGAAAATTTTCAGAATCGGAATCAATTCCTTTCGGGCGAGGGGCGCTGCGAGCTGTACCCAACGATTATGGCGTACGTATGTGGTGCTTTCCTGCCCTGTGAGATCGTGCTCGGCTCTCTTTAACCTTTTGAAATTTATGATAACAGCTTTAATGGGTCAAATTACAGATGGTTAAATGCTTATAATGAATAATGAAACAGACAGAAAATTACTTTTTCTTCCTGAATAAACGTTCAATGTCCAATGTATAGATAATTCAGTTACGACTTGATGTGCACATAGGGACATGAATTTGATATAAATCCGATGCTTTACTATGCATTGATATTGAGGTGGTTCAGTTAAATAGGAAGAAATATATTTAAATAATCAAAATTGCACATGCATCATTCTTACTCTGATTTTTAATGAGTGGAAACATGGTGTATGTTTCACTCAGTTATAGCTTGGCTCAGCCTATCATTATTAAGAGTACGTAACATACGAAATGTTTTCCCCATTACACTGTGGAAAACGAAGTTCATTCAATTAACATAACCCACGAAATATTTTCGCCAGGTCACTGTGGGACACGAAGAAAGTGGACCTCTATTGCAGAATGGCCATATCGACGACGCGCCAGTGAACAGTGCCGACCAAAGCATACATGCTCGACAGGAGCCCGATTTCGAGTTCTCAGAGCTGCCTGAAGGCGAATACCGCAATTACCATCAACAATCTTTGGCTAGCGAGATGTGTTTCGGAAGAGCCATGATGGGGTCAAGTTTGAGGGACAGTTTTGAAGAGATTCCTGAAATCGAGTTGCAGGAAAATCATTGGGGGCAAGTTAACTTTCAAGACGGGAGAGGAAGCGTGCAAAGTGAACAGCCTCTTGAACACGAAGCTTTTGGATTAGAAAATGACGAGAAAATTGGGCCAATGAGAGATTTCTCGTGCACAGAAAATGAAGTCAACGATGCTGACAAAAAGAATTTCGTCAACCTTAAAGAAAATACAGAAAATATAAACAAAGATTTTGATGAAAAAGAGGCTGGTCACTATGAAGATTACGATTTACCCACACAGGAGCCGACAAAATCGAGGCCGGATACTCCAACAATCGCTCGAGATGAACCATCAGCTGTAACGCGTAATGACGACATCAATGAAGAAGATGGTGACGAAATTAACGAAAGAAGACCGGAAAGTCCTCGCCAAGACTCGTCGGATGAAGGAAGTTATTGTGTATCCGATGACAACTGGATAAGTGACACTCCCTTGAGTCGAGTGGACTCATTTGTTAGAGAAGTCGTCCACAAGGCCGAAATTGTCTCGAAAAAACCATCGAATATGTAAATGGGGGGATTCTAAATAAGGGACTGAATTGTGACCGATAATGTCATACATGTGTTCCTGGTAAAATGTTCGATAAATTTAGCTTTGATCAGTTGTGTTAAGGTTTGATGCTTCACGTGCAGAGAACACAATTTACTGATCGTTAAACGTTAAAGGGGTACGCAGGTTATACTTAGGCGTCTTCTGTTTATTTTGTAGCAGGATTTCATAGGAATAGTGAACTGAACTTTTTTAACATAAATTGATACTGTATTGTTGAGTAGGCTGTACATAATGCTAATCATTTAATTAAGTTAATTTCATAACTGGTTAAAACATCAAGCCTATTATAATTAGTTATTATTAAGTATATTAATTTATTTAGACCTTATATGATCATGACTTTAATTTAAGAATATTTGGCCAATTTACATTCAGTTTTTTTGGTAATATTCATTTGATAGTTGAATGCATATAAATTATTTAACGTAAATTTTTTTATCAAGTTGAGCTACACCTAGTACGTAATTGTACCATTCCTTAAATGAAATTTTCTGATGATAACAAAAGTAACTGTCAATGGATAACTAGGATGATTTCTTGGATCAGGTAGGAAGATTACATGAATATAATTATGACGGATAACGCGGATAAATACCTGTGAAAAAGAAAGATGATTGTTATTAACAATGAGAATAATTGTCTGCGGATAACAAGGATGACTTATCGGCAGCTAACATGGAAGATTATCGCTGAATGCAATGATGATTGTAGGCAGAAAATGTGGATAATTTTCAGCGGATTGCGTGGACACGTGACGGCGTATAATAAGAATTTTGTCAGTAGATAACAAAAATAATTGTTGGCGGAGTAGAAGTGATCGTTTATGCATAACAAGGATGATTTTTGCGTTTATAAATTAGCCTACGCGGTTGCCAGCTATACACCGCATGCTTTCTTAATTGAGACCAATCCACTACCAAACGATCGCTCTTGCAGCGCAATTGAACAAGTCTTGATCTCAAGCGTGCTTCAGTTACTACAGTTATGAGTACAAATTAGCGTATTTTATTGTATCTATTAAGTTTGAATCATTGATTATACTATTCTTAAACGGCTTCATTACAAGTTGCTTTTGATTCGATGAGTTTGAACGCATTTTGGTCTTTTACTGTTGATTCTGAGTAAAAGAATATCTAGAAACTTCATTCGCATTTAGGCTAGGTGTTTGTTCATTTATTTTAAAAACTTTTAGCTCAAGGATCACAAAAAGTCTGCATGACGGTGTGTAATAGCTGAGTTGTGATACTTGCAGGTTTTCAACCAGAAATTAAACCGAACCTAGAAATTTATATACTAACGTTGAAACGGCAATATTGCTGTTCAGAGTTTATGAGTGTCAGTTCAGCCGTTCATGAAAAAGAATTAGTTCAAATAAATTCTTAAATTCAAATTGAAAATATTCCTAAAGCTAAATATTCGTTGTTGAATCATTGTATTTCTTACCGGAGAAAAACGAATTCTGAAATGGTTGAATTAAAATCAGTAAAATTCATGCAGCCACTGCACACTTGAAAAACCAATAAAATCCTCGAGTAAAGTGATATTTTGTGTTAAATCATTTGTGTTTTAACCGAAAAACGCATTTAGGAACTGATTGATGATCATGAAACCAGAAATTTGTTTTTAATCTGGAATGCGGATCTCAGCGGTCAACACAATTTTCATTTTATCGGTGTAGAGATGAAAGAAGTAACAGAGCACGAAATACGAATGCTCTCAATTCAAATTCAATTATTCAATAAATAATTTATGGGTAGAACTTTTACTCTTACTGCATAGATCGATAGATTATCATGTACCCGATTTAATCTGTAATGCAGAACATAACGGTCAACACCTAAAAATTATTTGCCTGGTCAAGTGGAGCAGATGACGGTTTCCATCATTTCCGCGGGACACGGATATTCACCTCTCATTTACAGCCTTCAATGTTAAACAAAGTAAAAGTTACTTTAACAGAAGTAGGAAACATTTGAATGAGTTAAGATTTATATCACTATTGCCTGCCAACAAATTCAGCACGGACGATTGAAGCAAGATACTGATGAGTAGGGCTTCATGGCTAGCTGATGTGTTGTGAACAGGAGCAACATTTTCGAGCGCAGATTGCTCGAGTTCTGTTTCGTTGATTTTAATTTTCCCAATCCTAATGGAAGGCTGGTGTTTCATGTTTGGACGAATTATTATTTATACAGAAGGAATCGAGGCAGAAAGACTTACTGCTCAACTCCATCGCTTTGAGGAAATGTTTAACTTAAGCACAAATACGAATAACTTCAATTCAACTCTCTGATAGTGAACTATTGGTACCATTTTGTCGTAATGGGGCGATCGGTAAAATCTTCATGGTATTCAACCAGCAATTCAGAACCTTGAAACACTTGAAACAAGATACTGATGGGCTGCAGGGATATTATGGCTCACTAATGTGTTGTGAACCAGACCAATATTTTCGAGCGCAGATTCGAGATTTTGTTTCGTATATTTTAATTTTCTCTATCCTAATGAAAGGCTGGTGTTCCACTTTTGGACAAATTATTATATATACAGAAAGAATCGCGACAGAAAGCTTTACTGCTTAGCTGGAATCGTCATGCGAGCAACCGCTTCGTCAAACCTTCGACAAGGTTGAGGTAAACAATAAATTTCCAATTGACACGTGTAAGCCGGAATAATATGTAGATAGGTAAATAAAAAAGTTAATAAAAATTTCGCATGTGTGAACTAATTTCGCCCCTGAACTCCAGCTGGAAATCTGTATGGCCAACTCAACCGAAAAAATCAATTCATTATAATACAATACAAATTCGGATGCTTCCTCGTTCATACTTTCAAATTGAATTTAGTGAATGATTTGAAGGAATTATTATAGATAGATGGAATGTATGATTTTGAAATAAACATGCACTTTATAATCCTGATCAGTTTATTTCTTTTAGAAATCCTTAAGAAAAATCCGTTTCCTCGAAATTTTTCGTTCCATATTAATATTAGATACTAAAATTCCTAGTTATGTAGGATTAATACACAAGCACTAATATTTCTTGAAATCGAACAAAGCCTGCCTTAATAATTGTCAATCTTCATATTGCAAACTTAGTTCTTGTTCTGGTCTCTCCAGCCTCCACACGCAGTGATGACAAAAATCTTAAAATTTGGTAGGAGTGTTTAATGATTTTCATTTCACTAAATTTTGTTCCACGTGATGAGTTTCTTTTTCTGGACCATGTCATGCTGATCAAAGGAACGTCCTTGGATTTTTGAAGTATATAATATAATGAATTACAATATTATACTTTAAAGGTAAAAAAATGAGCTAATTTATTTCATTCGTCTCCTCAATCGGCTTCACTCGATTTTTCAACAGCACCCGTTCATCCACGCCATTGAACGAATGCTTTTTCACTTTTGCTTCAAGCAGTCAAATGACTGCTTCACTTTTTCCGTAGATGCGAGACACTTACAAGTCAATAAAAGAAAATTGACTATTTGTACCTACGCTACTCTTTAAATTATTGAATTAAATTAAATGCCGCAATTTCGTTACTAAATGCTTCTTATTACTTGAAAATGATTATTTAATGCTGTCGAAACGTCGTTAATAAATTAAAATTACAGAGTTAAACCTTCATTTCGATCAACCAACGTCATCTAAAGAATTGTACTGCCGCGATTATTTCTGATTATATCTGTAAATAATTTGCGTTTAAAAATAACTTTTTATAGACAACACTCCCAAAGAATCCAGTGTCTCTGATTCTGCACATGTACAATGAATTACTTATTTTATTATCAAATATTAAAAAAGTAATTTTAAATTTTAATTTTGGAATTTAATTTTTTTTAATTTTTCAAAATTACTTGTTCTGTCAATTGAATTATGAATTGTCTCCGACTTTACGCAAGTGTGTAAAATTTCTGATCGATTGGACAGGTAGAAGTGTGTTAAATATCGATTATAAGAGTTGTTGCAGACTGACTAACAAACAAAAAATGAAGTTAAAGAGAAGTGTTGTAAAATGAGAATTTCTCTAAACATAAACACCAGCCTTCCATTAGTATTGGAAAAATTATCATAGACGAAGCAAAACATGAGCTATCGGTGCTCGATTATGTTGCTCGTGTTCATAACACATAAGTTATCCATGGTAGCCCTACAGCACATCAGTATCTTGCTTGAACTGTCAGTGCAGAGTCTACTTCTCGGAGTAGAAGTGAAGTGAAGTTAAAGAGAAGTGTTGTAATTACTGGGCATATTACTATAGTCTTGAAGTGAGTGAACACAAGCAATTTCTGCTTGTGCACACGATCAACGATAGCAGACTTAAATATATTATACCTTAGATTATAAAAAAATGTTACTGAGCTTATTACTAAAATCTTAAACTGAACACAAGCGATATCTCCTAGTTAACGCGATCAAACCATAAGAGACTTAAATACATTATACCCTTGAATTTATAAAAATTTACCGGGCATATTACTATAGTCTTGAAGTGAACACAAGCAGTTTCTGCTTGTAAACACGATCAAACGATAGCAGACTTAAATATATTATACCTTATTATATGAAAACTTATTACTGAGCTTATTACTATAATCTTAAACTGAGCAGAAGCGATATCTCCTAGTTAACGCGATCAAACCATAGGAAACTTAATCATATTTTACCCTAGAATAAATAAAAATTTACCGGGCATAATACTATAGTCTTGAACTGAACACAAGCGATTTCTGCTTCTGAACATGATCTAACGATAGGAGAATTAAATATATTATACCTAAGAATATGAAAAAAAGTTACTGAGCTTATTGATATAATCTTAAACTGAACACAAGCGATATCTCCTAGTTAACACGATCAAACGATAAGAGACTTAAATATATTATACCTTAGAATATGAAAAAAAATTTACTGAGCTTATTAATATAATCTTAAACTGAACACAAGCGATATCTCCTAGTTAACACGATCAAACGATAGGAGACTTAAATATATTATACCTTAGAATATGAAAAAAAGTTACTGAGCTTATTAATATAATCTTAAACTGAACACAAGCGATATCTCCTAGTTAACACGATCAAACGACAGGAGACTCAGATATACTATACCCTAGAGTAAATAAAAAATTAGAGGGCATATTACTATAGCCTTGAACTGAACACAAGCAATTTCTGCTTGTGAACACGATCAAACGATAGCAGACTTAAATATATTATACCTTAAATTACTTTTTAAAGACAACACTTCTAAAGAATCCACTGTCTCCAATGTTAAAGATGTACAATAATTTTTTCATTTTATTGTCGAATATTAAAAAAATATAACTCAGTACTCACAGCAGTGAGTGACAGAGAGCGCATTTTCTCGTCGACGAAAACTTGAGGTCACGGACGGACTGACAGACGGACGGACAGACAGACAGACGGACATGGCGAGCACAATAGTGCATTTTTTCCATAAATGAGAAAATGCGCTAAAAATTTATTTTTCAATTTTTTATATATAATTTTTTTTCAAAATTATTTATTCTGTCAATTGATTCATGCATTGCCTCCGACTTCACACAAGTGTGCAAAATTTCAGATCAATTGGACAGGTAGAAATGTGTCAAATATCAGTTATAAGATTTGTAGCTGACAAAATTATTTTTTAAATTTTCTTAATATTGAAACAAGTTTTTTTTCTTTTTTAAAATCATTTATTTTGTCATTTGATTCTTGCATTGTCTCCAACTTTACGCAAGTGTGCAAAATTTCAGGGTATACTTTCAAAAAAAGTTAAGAGATTGTATGTTCATGAACCAATAATTGACGGCCTTTGAAGCAAGATCCACCAATCATGGACAAGAAAATAGAGCGTAAGTACTTACGTTCACTTAGCGATTTTTGAAAGTATGGCCCCAGCAGGTGATCTTTGGCTCGTGAGATGATCGACCTGGCGCAAAGTTCTTCATAACGGGTTGAGAACAGATTTCGCGCACTGTGATAATTTAACCGAACGTTATGGTACAAGCGTCAATTCTACACACAATTCCCTTATGAAGATTGAATTGTGAGATATTTCTATATCTTTCACCGCTATATAGATCTGCGAATGGCGATGGGGTTGGCGATTTTAATTTTTTAGTTTCTTCAGTATATTGCTGCATGCGGTCCCTGGAGATTTCACGTCGCTGGAAGGTATCATTTTATTGCGTATTGAAACTTGTGTGTCACCTAAATTCTAAAGGAAGCTACTCGATCATGCTCAGTCAGTACTCGATCAAGCTACCCGGAGGCTACAAAGGTTCTCTATGATGAAATCTTCTCCTCTAGTTTACATACGGGAATGTCTCTTTCATGAACGGTAGCCTGGGCCATGATGGGCAAGCCGTTTAATTAAAAACAATTCAAGACTGAACTCCCAAGTAAACTGCACAAGGTAGAGCATCATTAAACTTACGAAAATAAAAAAAAATAATAATAAAACTATTTTCAGATATATCGTTCAATCAAGGGGAACTCTGTGTTTGCAGTGATGTGCTTAAGATCCCGATGAAACGAAATTAAGACTTGAGAGAATGAGTGGTTTATAAGTGGAAATTAGATGGCATATCATTTAAAGATGATATCGCAATTAGTATCATAAATGATGAAGTAACACATCAATGTAAAATTTGAGTGATTAAGTTTACTCCACGGGTCTATGATTTAACTTCGTTTAGTGCGAACGATCGGTAAAATAATAAGCTTGACCCTGTAAAGATATTCGTTTTCTCGTGTGCGTATCCACTATACTTATCGTGGTGTTATATTCTGGGAGAAATGTAAGATTCATGATGGTGAAATCGAGCAGCATTAAAAACGAAGAAGAAAAAGGGTGAGTAAAAAAGTGACTACAATTTTTTACAGAAATATTATCATTGATGATGTTGCTCATGTTCACAACACGTCAGTTAACCATGATAGCCCAACAGAACATCAGTATCTATGTATCTTAAACTGCCTGCGTACAGTTTGCTGTTTGGAAGCAGGATAATTGAAGCATCACTTTATTTGCCTGCTTCCTACGTAAGGATAAATGTTTTTGGCTGGCTCTTGAGGCAAGTATTTATTCCATCTGGTCTCTAGCCGACTAGAAACACTGATTCTTCAAACGTCGCAAAGAAATAAAACTGAAATCTTTTCCTATTTTATTTTGGATAAAACTTTCGAATCACACATGAATAGAGAAAATTCTTAATTCAAAGTTACCATAATGATCTTCTCCCTAGATTATGTTTATGTTCGTTGTTTAATTTAGACTCTTGGTCTTTGTTCGTTTGACATGAAGATAATCAACAATATAGTTTAGAAATGAAAAATACAAAAATACGTGCACCGCATATCTCATTCTATCATATGAAAGAAACTACATACAAAAAATCTCGTCTGAATCCCCTATTCTATATAACGCACTCAAAGCCACGTACGATTGAATCTATTAGATTCAGCATTTCTATACATCCGCCGTATAGAACGAAGAGACATTTCAGCCAAACTATTGTAGGAGGAAGAAGAATGCAGCAAAACTTTTCAACTTCTGACTTATAGCATGTGAATTGTAGCTAATACGTCAGCATGATGGAACTGATGAATTGGACCCTTTGCAGAACTGACTCAACCGCATTCAGGGAAATTCGAAATAAATGAAATATTCCGTCAATGTGCTTTTCCGATAACTACTTAAAGAATTTGATCGAAATACGATCAATATTAGCTAATATCAGTAATCAATTGTAACCCGTAATCCGTGTCAGATTCATTTTTGCGACCTAATTTAAATTCTTATAAATCTGAACGAGTACTTTTTGAAGATCTACTCCGTAACGAATTTCTGTTCAATATTTGAATTGTTCAATTCAATGTGGCCCTAGAAAATAACAATTATACCTAG